GTTCCACGGTGAGAGCATTCATAGCGTCTTGTTTTTGCTCCTGGCAGGGAAGAGAAGGAGCGGTGGATCCGTGCCAAGTATGAGCAGAAGCTCTTCCTGTACCCCCTGCCAGCCTCGGACGTCCCCCTGGGGCAGCAGCTCCTGCGAGCGGTGGTGGAGGATGATTTGCGGATGGTGGTGGCGTTGCTGGCGCACGGTACGAAGGAGGAGGTGAATGAAACGTATGGGGACGGGGACGGGCGGTCGGCGCTCCATCTCTCGGCGGCGATGGCCAATGTGGTGTGCACCCAACTTCTCATCTGGGTAAGTGGAAGGAACGTCTGCGATTGTCTTTCCCCCTCGGGAAGATCTTCCGTCTACTAATCCCCCTTTCCTTCTTGTCTCCTCAGTACGGCGTGGACGTGAAGTGCTGCGATGCGCGCAGTCTCACCTCGCTCTCGTACGCCCGTCGCGCCGGCAGCACGGAGTGCACGGATATTCTCCTTCAGTACGGCTGCCCCAGCGACAGTCCCAGCCCCGCCCTGTAACCATGGAGAACTCCGATCACGTGACTCTGATGGAGAACATTGGGCCTGACTCTCAGTCCTCCCATCACGTGACTCTGATGAAGAACATTGGGCCTGACTCTCAGTCCTCCCATCACGTGACTCTGATGAAGAACATTGGGCCTGACTCTCAGTCCTCCCATCACGTGACTCTGATGAAGAACATTGGGCCTGACTCTCAGTCCTCCCATCACGTGACTCTGATGAAGAACATTGGGCCTGACTCTCAGTCCTCCCATCACGTGACTCTGATGAAGAACATTGGGCCTGACTCTCAGTCCTCCCATCACGTGACTCTGATGAAGAACATTGGGCCTGACTCTCAGTCCTCCCATCACGTGACTCTGATGAAGAACATTGGGCCTGACTCTCAGTCCTCCCATCACGTGACTCTGATGAAGAACATTGGGCCTGACTCTCAGTCCTCCCATCACGTGACTCTGATGAAGAACATTGGGCCTGACTCTCAGTCCTCCCATCACGTGACTCTGATGAAGAACATTGGGCCTGACTCTCAGTCCTCCCATCACGTGACTCTGATGAAGAACATTGGGCCTGACTCTCAGTCCTCCCATCACGTGACTCTGATGAAGAACATTGGGCCTGACTCTCAGTCCTCCCATCACGTGACTCTGATGAAGAACATTGGGCCTGACTCTCAGTCCTCCCATCACGTGACTCTGATGAAGAACATTGGGCCTGACTCTCAGTCCTCCCATCACGTGACTCTGATGAAGAACATTGAGCCTGACTCTCAGTCCTCCCATCACGTGACTCTGATGAAGAACATTGGGCCTGACTCTCAGTCCTCCCACTCGTGACCCTGATGAAGAACATTGGGCCTGACTCTCAGTCCTCCCATCACGTGACTCTGATGAAGAACATTGGGCCTGACTCTCAGTCCTCCCATCACGTGACCCTGATGAAGAACATTGGGCCTGACTCTATGTCCTCCCATCAAGGGACCCTCTTGAAACACATAAGAACATTGGGCCTGACTCTCAGTCCTCCCACTCGTGACCCGGCTCTGGCAGCCATTTTTTTTTTATTCTGTTTTAAATATGATTGATTCTCAGGATCCTGGACGTTACCTCCGTGTCCCCCGCGCTCTCCGCCTTCCATCACACGTGACGCTGCTCTTCACCCTCCGCCAATGTTGTACGTGTTGGTCCTGCAGAGCAGCGTATGTAACACGAGTACGAGTTCCTATCTAGTGGCATTATCAATGTGTCTGTGGAACGGACTGTAAAGCTGTGCCCCCCCCCCCTCTCTATGGGAGGGGCCGCGAATCATAAGAAATAGGGATCGTCAATCGTAATCAGTGTTAAGGTACAAGAAGGTACATCCTGCGGATGGTGTTCCCGGAACTCGCAGCGCCCTCTCCTACTTGAAACATGTCGTGTGTGGAGTGTTTCTATCTCCATGACCTTTCCATTTCCTCACATGGTACCTCTAGTGTGACCCGTGTGATGGGCTCTCGTATGTCTCCCGGTATATATATGTATATATGTATTATATGTAGAAGATTGTTGGCTGGATATCACTTTGTGGGGATAAATGAAGCATTGTGTGTTTACAGACATTATTGTACTCCGTATTGTATGTTCTCTTGGCTGATGCCCTGGAAGAAGACCTTGAAGGACTCGCAGGGTCACTTCTACACACATATCATAGTAGGCCTTAGTTCATGGATCTCTGGGTGTCCCTCATGTCTAACCTTCACAAGGTCTGGGTGAGGGTCTCATATCTTCGCTGAACGTCGAATTACTTCCTTCGGAACACTACATGATCTCACCCGTCTGTAAGCCGACCTAAAAAAAAAATAGGGGGCGTGTGGGTCTTGGACAGCAGGTAGGTCAGATCTCCTGGACAGGTGCTACATCAAGTGACAGACTTCTTGAATTAGAGGCAGATTATGAGGGACAAACTTACTGATCAGGAGGTAGACATTGAAAGACAGACCTCCTGGATTAAAGGGAAATGTCTAGGGACACATTTCCTGGTCAGAGAGAAGACATTGTGGGATAGACCTCCTGGACTAGGGGTAAAAGTCAAGGGGCAAACTTCCTGGTCAAAGGGTAGACATTGTGGGGCAGACATCCTGGATTAGGGGTACATGTCGGGGAACAAACAACCTGGTTAGGAGGTAGACATGGAGGGATGGACCTCCTAGATTAGGGGTAGATGTTGAGGGACAAACTTCCTGGTCTGGAGGTAGACATCGAAAGACAGACATCTTAAATTAGTGGCAGATGTTAAGGGACAAAGTCCAGTCAGAAGGTAGATGTGGACAGATCAACCTTCTGGATTAGAGGTAGATGATGAGGGCAAACGTCATGGGCAGGACATAGACCTACTGAACTAGCGATAGATGTTGAGGGGCGAATTTCCTGATCAGGAGGTAGATGCTCAGCTTCTGGACAAACCTTTGAAGATCGGCCTTTTGACCATGACAGTTGAGGAACACATTTCTGTGACCGGCGGTAGAAGATGAAGTCTAGATCTTCTTACCAATTGGTGAAATTGCAGGAACTGGATCTCGGAAGATAGCAGAGGAAGGCTGGAGATCTGGAAGAGCAATTAGCTGAGGAGGGACTTGGTTTCCGGGACTAGTTAGACAACATGAATCTTGGATAGTAGCTATAAAACCTGAAGGACACAACAATACATAAAGGATGTAACCCCCAAATGATTGACAGAATAGGAAAGTTGAAGCTCTTAAAATAAATACGAGATGTAGGACAATAGTTAGAAATGAACGATGAAGTTCATGGACAACAACTAGCAAAGCAGAAGAAACAAAGACCTGGCGTGGTGGCGGGTGAGAGGTGAAGCTGAAGGTAAATTGGGTCTGTTTAGGCTACCGGGATAAGAACAATGAACTGCGGCTACCACAACATAGTAAGTCGTCCTAGGGGAGTCCTGGGGAGGCGAGGACGGAGAAGACTTGTGAACATGAGTTACTGGTGAATAGATTATGGACTTTTATCAAATCAGAATGGTCCAATCTGCAGGCCAGCAGAGGCAGACGAGGCACAAAGTGTGTGAAGGAGTCCTAACCTGAGATAATCCATCTCCCGGCATGAAGTGCAAAACGGAAATGAATGACCATGTAGATGAGAAGACGGGGCATGGGAGGAGGAGAAGATGGGGCAAAGGGGAAGAAGACGGGGCATGGGATGGGAAGAAAACGGGGCACGGGAGGAGAAGAAGACGCTAATCTGCAGGCCAGCAGAGGCAGACGAGGCACAAAGTGTGTGAAGGAGTCCTAACCTGAGATAATCCATCTCCCGGCATGAAGTGCAAAACGGAAATGAATGACCATGTAGATGAGAAGACGGGGCATGGGAGGAGGAGAAGATGGGGCAAAGGGGAAGAAGACGGGGCATGGGATGGGAAGAAAACGGGGCACGGGAGGAGAAGAAGACGCGGCATGGGAGGAGAAGACGGGGCACGGGAGGAGGAGAAGACGGGGCACGGGAGGAGGAGAAAACGGGGCACGGGAGGAGGAGAAGACGGGGCACGGGAGGAGGAGTTATATGTATTATATGTAGAAGATTGTTGGCTGGATATCACTTTGTGGGGATAAATGAAGCATTGTGTGTTTACAGACATTATTGTACTCCGTATTGTATGTTCTCTTGGCTGATGCCCTGGAAGAAGACCTTGAAGGACTCGCAGGGTCACTTCTACACACATATCATAGTAGGCCTTAGTTCATGGATCTCTGGGTGTCCCTCATGTCTAACCTTCACAAGGTCTGGGTGAGGGTCTCATATCTTCGCTGAACGTCGAATTACTTCCTTCGGAACACTACATGATCTCACCCGTCTGTAAGCCGACCTAAAAAAAAAATAGGGGGCGTGTGGGTCTTGGACAGCAGGTAGGTCAGATCTCCTGGACAGGTGCTACATCAAGTGACAGACTTCTTGAATTAGAGGCAGATTATGAGGGACAAACTTACTGATCAGGAGGTAGACATTGAAAGACAGACCTCCTGGATTAAAGGGAAATGTCTAGGGACACATTTCCTGGTCAGAGAGAAGACATTGTGGGATAGACCTCCTGGACTAGGGGTAAAAGTCAAGGGGCAAACTTCCTGGTCAAAGGGTAGACATTGTGGGGCAGACATCCTGGATTAGGGGTACATGTCGGGGAACAAACAACCTGGTTAGGAGGTAGACATGGAGGGATGGACCTCCTAGATTAGGGGTAGATGTTGAGGGACAAACTTCCTGGTCTGGAGGTAGACATCGAAAGACAGACATCTTAAATTAGTGGCAGATGTTAAGGGACAAAGTCCAGTCAGAAGGTAGATGTGGACAGATCAACCTTCTGGATTAGAGGTAGATGATGAGGGCAAACGTCATGGGCAGGACATAGACCTACTGAACTAGCGATAGATGTTGAGGGGCGAATTTCCTGATCAGGAGGTAGATGCTCAGCTTCTGGACAAACCTTTGAAGATCGGCCTTTTGACCATGACAGTTGAGGAACACATTTCTGTGACCGGCGGTAGAAGATGAAGTCTAGATCTTCTTACCAATTGGTGAAATTGCAGGAACTGGATCTCGGAAGATAGCAGAGGAAGGCTGGAGATCTGGAAGAGCAATTAGCTGAGGAGGGACTTGGTTTCCGGGACTAGTTAGACAACATGAATCTTGGATAGTAGCTATAAAACCTGAAGGACACAACAATACATAAAGGATGTAACCCCCAAATGATTGACAGAATAGGAAAGTTGAAGCTCTTAAAATAAATACGAGATGTAGGACAATAGTTAGAAATGAACGATGAAGTTCATGGACAACAACTAGCAAAGCAGAAGAAACAAAGACCTGGCGTGGTGGCGGGTGAGAGGTGAAGCTGAAGGTAAATTGGGTCTGTTTAGGCTACCGGGATAAGAACAATGAACTGCGGCTACCACAACATAGTAAGTCGTCCTAGGGGAGTCCTGGGGAGGCGAGGACGGAGAAGACTTGTGAACATGAGTTACTGGTGAATAGATTATGGACTTTTA